CCTGAATTTTTTGAATTCTTCTGATGTAAATTGAGCGGCGTTGTCAGAGAACACAATATCCAGAATGCCATATCTGGCAAAATGGGCCTTGAGTTTTTTAATTACTGTTTTGGCCCTTGTGTCCTATAAGTAGTCTATCTCCCAGAAGTTGGAAAAATAGTCCACAGTTACCAGATATTCCTTGTCGTTCCACGTGAACAGATCTGTTCCCACTTTTGACCATGGTCTGTTTGGAATTGTATGTGGTTGCAATGTCTCTTTCTGTTGCTTATCATTGCACGATGCACATATTTCACACTGTGCTATAAAGTTTTTTATGTGGTCATTCATTCCAGGCCAATAAACATATTCTCGTGCACGACGTAGACATCCTTCTACACCTAAGTGAGTCGAGTGCAATCTTTCTGTAATGTCTCTTCTAAGTGATTGTGGTATGACAGCCCTTTCTCCTTTAAAGATGATTCCATGCTGCACAGAGAGTTCATCTCTTATGTGAAAAAATGGAGAAACCTCCATTGGAGCATGCTGCTTGTGTTTTGGCCATCCCTTCAAGATGACAGTCGATTCAGGATCTGTAGAGTTTTATCTTCCGCTGTGCAGGTCTGTATTTGTTTCAGTCTGTCTTTTGAGACAGACAGATATTCACACATAGTGATGCTTTCAATGACTTTTTCTTCTTCATTTGTGATGGGTAAGTAAGCTCTGCTTAGGGCATCTGCAATCAGTAAATCCTTCCCTGGACAGTAACAAATGTAAAATCATATTTCTGAAGCCTTAACAGCATACGCTGCAGTCTTTTTGGGGCATTCAGTAGTGGCTTCTTTGTAATACTTTCTAAAGGCTTGTGATCTGAATGCACCACCACTTGTCGACCGTAGGTGTACTGGTGAAATTTCTCTAACCCAAATACTACCGCTAGTAGTTCCTTCTCGATTTGAGCATATCCTTGCTCTGTTAGAGTTAACGCTCTGCTTGCATATGTGATTGGCTGTTTATCCTGCATTAGTGTGGCTCCAAGGCCGGTTTCTGAGGCATCACATTGTATTACCACTGCTTGATCTGGATCAAAATATTTTAGCGTTGCTGCTTCTGCAATAGCATTTTTCACTGACTGAAAAGCAGTTTCATGGCTTTCTGTCCATTCCCAGAGTACGTCTTTGTGAGTTAGCTGTCTCAGTGGCTCACACATGTCTGATAAATGCTTGCAAAATTTGGAAAGATAATTCACCATGCCCAGGAATCGTTGTACTCCACGTATATCTGTAGGTGTCGGCATGTCCTATATTGCCCTCACCTTCTCTGGATCGACTTTAACACCATTTGAGGTAAGAAGATGTCCAATATATGGTACTTCTGTCATTTTTAGTTTGAATTTTTCCAGGTTCAGTTTGATTTGTTTTTTTTCTACATCTGTCTAAGAATTGTATCATCTTTTTATCGTGATCCTTTGTTGCGGATTCTAGATCATCACCTTCCCCAACTATTAGTATATCGTCTGCTATTATTTTTACTCCAGACAGTCCTTCCAAAGCTTGCATCAATTTTTGTTGGAACACTTCTGGAGCCGGGCTTAATCCCATTGGCATACTCAGCCACTTATAGCGTCCAAATGGGAAGAAAATGCTGTTAATAAACTTGATTCTTTATCCAGTTCCACGTGCCAGAACCCATTTTTTACATCACATACCGAAAAATAGTTTAGCCTTTGATAGATCTGGTAGAATATCTTCTATTGTTGGCATTGGATAGTGATTTCTTTTCAGGGCCTTGTTCAGTGGCTTAGGATCAATGCATATTCTTAACTTGCCTGATGGTTTTTTCACTACCACCAAACTGCTTATCCAGTCTGTGCTTTCCTGTACTGGTGCTATCATACCTCTGCTGTGCAAATCCTGCAGTTCCTCTTTAAGCGGTTGCATTAAGGCTACAGGTACTCTTCTTGTAGGCAGTCTGGGTAGGCTGTATTGTGTGATCAATTTCTAGTTTGTATTTACCTTCCAGGCACCCATCACCTTCAAATAAATCAGCATACTCTGTTTTTATGTGGTGAAAATCCAAAATGTATTCTGCCTTTTGTTTAGGATTTTGAGTATTCTCAGAAACTTCCAGAGCCATGATGTTATGGGACTGCACCTTTATTAAGTCCATAGCCTGAACTGCTTTAACTCCCAGCAAAGGAATGTGATCGTCCTCCTGCAACACAGTAAACTCCACTCTGTAGCTCTTTCTGTTATGTGGATTTCTTAATTTTAGCTTGCATGTTCCCATGGGTTTCAGAACACTTTTTGTTGTACATGACCAGTACCTTATCAGTGGGCTCAATGGGAACCTGTTTGTTAAGCAGAGTAAATGGAATGACATTGCAGCTTGCTCCACAATCCAGCTGAAATCTTATGGGCTGTTCATCCACCATAAATATGGCAAAGAGCTGCTTTGCATCATTGGCTACTGGCTGTTTGACTACATTGACGTTCTCTGTTGCAGACTGCAGCTGCAGCCATGTGATGCCCTCTGTGCTGTCCTCGTCTGTGTCCTGGGTCACTGTGTGGACTTGTCTGTACTGTTTGCTGGTTTTGAATCTGCACACAGCTGAAAAGTGGTTCATCTTGCCACAAGTCCTGCAGGACTTCCCATACGCTGGACATTTCTCTTTGTCTCTTTCATGTCTTTTACCACAGTATTTACACTGGACTGAGCTCACAGGGAGCCTGGACTTGCTCTGCCTTCACAGATACTGCATGTAGTGGGCATCACTGGTGCCCTCCATCATCTTCAGCCTGTCTTTAGTCAGCTCAGCAGCCTGCAGATTTGTATACATTTCTCCAAAGCCAGCTCTTCCTCCCTCAGTAATCTTTCTCTGCGGTGAGAGTCTCTGATGCCACACACTATCCTGTCTCGGATAAGGGAGTCCCTGATGTCCCCAAATCCACAGGTTGCAGCCAGTCTCCTCAGCCCTGTCACATATCTGTCCACACTGTCCCCAATCTCCTGATTCCTGGAGAAGAACTTGTATCTCTCCACTGTCTCATTCTTTTTGGGGTCACATTGCTTATCAAATGCTTGCAGTATGTCTGCCAGTGCCATGCTGTCTGTGAGCCGGGTCTCGGCTAGTTCTCTGCCTTTTTCCCCAATCAAGTAATAAAACAGCTTTACTTCCCTCTGCTAATCTCTGGGTGCCACTGTCAGGTCCACATACAGAGTAAACTCTTCCTTCCAGTGTCTCCATGTCTGTGAGAGATTGGAAGAAGTGACATCCAGTCTCTGAGGGGGTTTCAGGCCACTCTCCATAGTGCTGTCTGATAGGGACTCTGTACTTACAGTAGCTGATTCTCTGTACAGTTCTAGTGTCACACAATCTGTATTTGTAGACAGAAGACTTGCTATTCAGAGGTCCAGTGCCCAGCTGCCACCATGTTCTGTTAGTCGATCCTGCTCAGATGTTCACACACTGTAGTTAGTAGGAGACATTTTTATTAGGTGCTCCTAGCTGCCATTAAACATGTGTATATCCTAAGAACTACAACCAAAGAGAGGCAATAACACAGTTGTACCAGTATCTAAGTAGTGAGACCCCTAGAGGCCATACACAGCATATAACATATTGCTACAGTGCAGGAAGGGGGGCAATGTGTGAAGGAAGGGGGTGTAGGGTTAAAGGGCACAGTGGGTGCAGGAAGGAGGGCAATGTGTGCAGGAAGGAGGTGTAGCATTAAAGGGGGGCAGTGTGTGCAGGAAGGAGGATGTAGCACTAAAGGGGGCATTGTGTGCAGGCAGAGGGGCAGTCTGTACAGGAAGGGGGGTGTAGAGTTAAAGGGTGCAGTGGGTGCAGGAAGGGGGGCAATGTGTGTGCAGGAAGGAGAATGTAGCATTAAAGGGGGGCAGTGTGTGCAGGAAGATGGGTGTAGGGTTAAAGGGCACAATTGGTGCAGGAAGGGGGACAATGTGTGCAGGAAGGGGGTTGTAGGGTTAAAGGGCACAATTGGTGCAGGAAGGGGGGCAATGTGTGCAGGAAGGGGGTGTAGGGTTAAAGGGCACAAAAGGTGCAGGAAGGGGGGCAATGTGTGCAGGAAGGGGGTGTAGGGTTAAAGGGCACAGTGGGTGCAGGAAGGGGGGCAATGTGTGCAGGAAGGAGGTCAGTGTGTGCAGGAAGGGGGTGTAGGGTTTAAGGGGGGCAGTATGTTCATGGGTAATAGGGTGAAAGTGTGTGCAGGAAGAGGGGCAGTGTGCACAGTTTTATTTTTTGGGGAAGAGAGTGCAGGTAGCTGGTCTTGCCTAGTGTTCAAAATAATCTAGCACCGGCCATGCTAATAGGCAGTCTATGTTCAAAAAAGACTCGGTAAGCTGGGAACTGTCATGAGGAACATGTACCAATACCAAAAGTTAAGAAAAAAAAACATACACTGGGGTGCAGATCACTTTCTTGCAGCTTCAAAGGTGGCATGGAAAAAAAACAAATCCTTTAAATTCCAAGCATGTAGGATGTCATCAATGGTGTTAGAGAACAGTACAACTTTTATGGACAACCTCAAGGACATCATACCCCAGCAGCACATTGTTGGCTGTCTAATTATTTATTTTTCTTTTAGCTTGGCTTACATACAGAAGGAGTACCCAAATGTGATGCATTCCAGTTTCACCCCAAACTGAAAAAACAAGACCCTATCCTAGGCTGTGGAGGGGGAGGGCTCAGCTTGGTCAGGCTTTCAGCAGCTCGCTGAGAGGCTAAACCAGGTGCCGCTCCAGACTCTGGGGTGGATCCTGACTTTAAAGTCAGCTTCAGCCTGCTGTCAGCTGAAAACGGGTCACGGGCGTGCAGAACGAATTGCACTCCTGTGATCCATAAGAGAAGTACAGCTAAAAGAGCTTTGGCTGTACTTCTCCTTTAACCGCCTCCCGCCCGCCATATAGTCCAATGATAGGCGCAAGGCGGTTCTCTTGTTCTGGGAGGACATTATATGACGTCCTCCCATTCAAACCGCGCATTCGCGGCTCCGGGAGCATGTAGCGCAGCGATCGGCAGTGCGCTGTGTCCCTCGGACACAGCGGATCACCAATCAATGGAAAGAGCCGAAGATGTCAGCTCAGTCATGTGATCAGCTGTGTCCAATCACAGCCGATCACATGTAAACAGGGAAATGCCGGTTATCGGCATCTCTCTCCCCACGAGCTGTCACGCTGACAGAGGAGAGGAGAGCCGGTAATCTGCATTCCTCGGAGGGGACATGTACACAGATCATCAGAGCACTGATGATCAGTGTGCCCTGATGATCTGTGTAGCCCCAGCAGTGCCAGCTGTCAGTGCTCATCCATGCCACCTGCCAGTGCCCATCAGTGCCACATCAAATGCCACATATCAGTGCCCATCTGAGCTGCCTTTCAGTGTCACCCATCAGTGCCAGTCAGTGCCAACTATCAATGCCAGTCAGTGCCACCTATCAGTGCTGCCAATCAGTGCCACCTATCAGTGCTGCCAATCAGTGCCACCTATCAGTGCCAGTCAGTGCCAACTATCAGTGTGCATCAGTGCTGCCTATCAGTGCCTGTCAGTGCTGCCTATCAGTGCCACCTAACAGTGCCAGTCAGTGCCACCTATCAGTGCCAGTCAGTGCCACCTATCAGTGCCATATATTGAGTGCTGTCTTTCATTGCCCATCAGTGATGCCTGTCAATGCCCATCAGTGCCACCTACCAGTGCCTACTAATCAGTGCCCATCAGTGCCACCTATCAATTCCCATCACTGCAGCCTCATTAGCGCACATCAGTGAAGGAGAAAAATCACTTATTTACAAAATGTTATAACAAAAACTAAGAAAAAACATTTTTTTTTTAAATTTTCAGTGGTTTTTGGTTTGTATAAGAAAAAATAAAAAACCCAGAGGTGATTAAATACCACCAAAATAAAGCTATATCTGTCACAAAAAAATGATAAAAATGTCATATGGGTACAGTGTTGCATGACCACGCAATTGTCATTCAAAGCGTGACAGCACTGAAAGCTGGAAATTGGAGTATTATCTAGAAAAGCGCCACACCCTTAATTAATATAGCAGCAACTCCAAACCCAAAACATGTATCTTGGTCCAAAATAGATAAATTATAGGAAAGCGCTCATAAATAAAAAATATATAGTATTCATAAATGAATATGTGAAAAATCAGACCATTATGAACTAATCACAAAAAATCTGATAAAAATAAACCATTAAAGTGTCCATAAAACAATATGTGAAAGTCCAAACACTTTTAGGAAGTCCCAAAAGATAAAAGTAAAAGTAAAATGGAAACACCGTGCACAATCCACCACCGAATAAATTAAATCACTCACCAGAGCTACATGCTGATCAATTCATAGACCAGCATCAGCGCTATTGCTCTGGGAGCAATGAGTATTCAATTCCAGGTAATGGGTGCAATACTCTGCAGTATTGAATCACTTTGGATGTAAAAGAAACGCCACTCTATCATGGACTGATTCCAGATCCTCTACGACCACTCTCTCCGAGATGAGTATTCAACTCTCCATAGGCATTAGGACCATATTCAAAGGCAAAGAAAAGGCATAATAGTGCAGCGTGTTTTAAAATCAAAACTTACTTTAATGGTGTCTAGACCGACACCAGCATCAAAGGGATAGGCATAAATCACTGGCACTGCTCACCGCAGATCCCCTCCGACAGACACAGGAGGAGTGTCAGAACGTCAGCATCCAACTGGCCCCGCCCTACGCGTTTCGTCACCACAATGTCCTCACAGTGCACTATTATGCCTTTTCTTTGCCTTTGAATATGGTCCTAATGCCTATGGAGAGTTGAATACTCATCTAGGAGAGAGAGTGGTCGTAGAGGATCTGGAATCAGTCCATGATAGAGTGGCGTTTCTTTTACATCCAAAGTGATTCAATACTGCAGAGTATTGCATCCATTACCTGGAATTGAATACTCATTGCTCCCAGAGCAATAGCGCTGATGCTGGTCTATGAATTGATCAGCATGTAGCTCTGGTGAGTGATTTAATTTATTCAGTGGTGGATTGTGCACGGTGTTTCCATTTTACTTTTACTTTTATCTTTTGGGACTTCCTAAAAGTGTTTGGACTTTCACATATTGTTTTATGGACACTTTAATGGTTTATTTTTATCTGATTTTTTGTGATTAGTTCATAATGGTCTGATTTTTTCACATACTGATTTATGAACACTATATATTTTTTATTTATGAGCGCATTCCTATAATTTATCTAAAGCTGGAAATTGGCCTGGGCAGGAAGGGGTATAAGTGCCCTGTAGGCTAGTGGTTAAAGTGATTGTAAACCCTCACCTTGTAAAACAGCCATTTAGTTTAAAATAGAAATGAAAGGAAAAAAAATTGTGTAGCAATACAAAAAAATTATAAACACTCTTTTCCCCTTTTCTATAAGTGATCATATTCACTCTGTTCTCAGCTATACAGAGAGATGGAGGGGAAAAAAGCAGCACAGCTGAAAGGCTGTGCTGGGGGAAGGGGGTGTCAGGACAAGTCATTGGAGGAGAGCAGGCTGAGTTCCCAGCACAGCTAGAGAACTGACCATAGTGAACTGACCTCTCATGCCTAGTGTGGTCAATTTTTAATAGGAAAGCAGAGGGATTGGTGGGAACACCAGGAATTTCACCAATTGAAGCAATACACAGAGAACAGGATACGTTTTTGCACATGGTACAGCAGGCACATATCAGAAATATGAAATGTTGGGTTCACTCTTGCACATATGGCTATCCAGAGTTTTTACCTACCTCTGTGTCGCTCATTGACTGCCGTTCATATAGCCTTAGTCACCATTTGATGATTACTAGGTAGTGGAGTAATTTAGCCTATGTTGTTTGCTAAATAATTTCTTGTTCTAGTTAAGCGGTGGACCATTGTGTCCCCCTTCGAGCTGGTGTGTGGATTGGACCGTTGTCCTACCCGCTACCCAGCCTACTTGTGGGTTTATCCCCCACAACTGGTTGTTATGCATTTGTGCTGATCTTATTGTCAAATGTATATTGTCTGTATACAAGATGGTTTTATGTCTTCTTCTTTCTTCCTTGCTTTTTTTTTCCTTTTCCTGGTTTCTTGTTCCGTGTACTTTGTCTTTTCACCTTATTTTTTTCAGGGCTCCCGGGGATCATGACGGAAGCTATCCTCTTCTTTTTTGGCTGCCATGTCGTTAAATTGGTTGTCCTTGAATGTTCAGGTTATGAACTCCCCCCAAAAGAGATTGAAGATATTTAAGTTCCTCCGGGCTCGCCACATAGATATTGCCTACCTACAAGAAACTCACTTTTCCACTACTTCTAGCACAAAGTATTATGATGCCCGCTACCCTCAGGTTTTTCAGGCTACTGGCCCTACAAAACAAAGGGGAGTCCTCATTTCCATAAGAAAACCCCATTTGTTTGCGAGAAGCATATTGTGGACCCAAATGGTAGGTATCTTTTATTACAAGGTACAGTTCAGGATGTAGACGTCACGCTTTTGACTTATTATGCTCCCAACGTTAATCCTGGGCCTTTCTTATCACATGTCTGCTCTCTTCTGGCAGTTCACCAATGAGGCACTCTTCTGTTAGCTGGGGACTCTAATTTAGTTCTGAATACTGCTCTTGATAAGTATCCCCAGAGGGCTCTAACCCCTCCTCTGCAGCCAAATCTTTCACTCAAACCTTACGGACTCATGGTAGACTTATGGAGTGAGCTCCACCCTGGGGGGAAAGACTACACTTATTACTCGCACCCTCATCACTCTCACTCCAGAATTGACCATGGTTTAGTCTTACGAAAACATCTTCCTCTTGTGCGCTCCATCTCTATTTTTACTGTGCCGTGGTCTGATCACAACCCCATTTTGGTGGTCTGTCAATCCCTTCTTTGCAAGCCTTCCTATTCTTCTTGGAGTATGAATGACTCTGAAAGAAGTTCAGGCGGACCTTCTGCACAAATCTGTGGAATATTTTCAGCTCAATTCAGGTTCTCTCTCTTCATCAGTGACATTGTGGGATGTGTACACGGCAGTCCTTTGAGGTCATATTATCCGAGTAGCCTCAAGGCACAAACGGGAGAGACAACATAAACAGCATCAGCTTGAAACACAATTAACTACTGTGTCATTTCAATTTAAACAATCACCGACTCCCTCCAACCGAAGGTTGTTTGGACCAGGCGAGCCTGGAATTGGATCTTTGCTTAACAGATGATGCCGAGCGCTTCCTACGCTGGACACGTCAGAAGTGGTACAGTAAAGCAAATAAACTGGACTCTATGCTAGCGAGCAGGTTGCGTTCTTTTACGCACAATCCAAAACTGATCTCTTTGCGTACTCGACATAATGTCCTAACAAGTAATCCTGCAAAGGTGTTAGAGGAGTTTCGATACCGTCTTGCTAAACTTTACACAGACCCTACTCGGGCAGAACCCCATGCTATCTCCAACTTTTTATCTCGACTGTCTTTGCCTACTCTGATTCAAGCTCATAGAGATTTGATGGACCGTGCTATTCAAATATCGGAAGTCTTGCGCTGTATCGCCGATTTCAAGACTAGCAAATGTCCAGGACCTGATGGCTACACGGCCTTGTACTATAAAAAACTGGCTGATGTTCTGGCCCCTCACCTCGCAGCCATGTTTAATGTGGTGAAAGGAGGTTCAGCCTTTTCCCCTGATTTGGTGAATGCCAATGTTGTCATGATCCTGAAACCGGATCGGGACCATTCCTCTTGGGTGAATTATAGACCAATCTTTCTTATCAACGTCGATATGAAAATCCTTACAAAAGTTTTAGCTTCCCGTTTGAACTCTTTCCTTTTCTCGTCTGATCAAAAAAGACCAGGTGGGCTTTGTCCCCCATAAACAAGCAGGGACGCAAACAGATGAATTTTACAGTTACAACACCAGGCTCACACTCGCAAAATTTAAATGATGCTCTTATCCCTGGATGTCATAAGGCCTTCGACACCTTATCCTGGCCTTACCTCATGTCTGTCCTTCACCATTTTGGCTTTGGTCCCTCATTCCTGCATTGGATTTCATCACTATATACGTGCCCCCAAGCAAAACTCAAATACAATGGTTTTGAGTCCTCGACATTTCCGGTTGGTAGAGGAACTAGGCAGGGCTGCCCGCTCTCTCCCATATTATTTATCTTGGCTTTGGAGCCCCTAGCAGAGGCTATCCGTATGCATTTCAATATTAAGGGGCTGGATGTAGCCGGTTCCCAGCATAAGCTGTCGTTTGCGGACGACATATTGCTGTTTGTTACTCTTCCCAACTTACTGGCGGTTCTGGACTCCTTTACTGCTCTTTCAGGCCTCTATGTCAATCCCGCTAAATCTAAAGCCATGTCTATTAGCCTTTCCCCCACGCTACTGTCAACTCTGAAACAATCGTTTTTCTTTTCAATGGCTTTCGGTCTTGCCATACCTGGGGATTAAGATCTCCCATCTTACGAAGGACTATATCAGGCTAATTTCCCCTTTGTCTTTAAGGACTTGACGGAAATGTTGTCTTCTTGGGCTCATATCCCACTTTCGTGGTTCAGAAGAATTAATGCGATCCGTATGACT